ATTCTCTGCGTATCGGTGGAAGCAGAGTTGACGTTTTTAATCAGTGTTTGTTTACGAAATTAGTGTTTTTGTTATAGTTCCGAAATACTCGAATCGAGTTTGTTGTTATCAGATCACAGGAATTATGGGTATGTTTTGATTTCATTTAGAAGGCTGGTTTCTGATGATGGAATTCATCACAAAGTGTGATGAGACTTCTCTTGGAAATAGTTTATGGTGATACGTGCAGGCAATTCTAAAAACAATAATTCAAAATATCGAGCCTTCTACTTAACGCCTAACATTTGGTATTTTATGGTGCGAAAAGTATATCATCGTTAAGTAGATGAAGAGGAACTTCTTGTGGATACTACTCGACAAGTGACACTGTTTGACAAATGTTAATCTTTCAATCCGCGATACAAATAAAACCAGTAAAGAAAGTCCTAAAGTCGGGCGGGGCCGACTTTATGATACCCTACACCACTTTGCTAATTTAGTAGAGCTCCACATAACAATTAAAAGTTTTGATGGGAGAATTCAACCATACACGCTATGATTATAATTATAATTTAAAGTCCGAAGGACTAAATATGCCGAAGTATTTATAACTTTTAAATTCGGACTTGTATTGCCCATTTGGTGTAAAATTAATTTGAATCAGATAAAGGTATATATGGGTGCTATATCCAAATCTGAACCGATTTTGATGAAATTTAGCAAAGGTATTTCTGAGCTGCATTTGATATATTTCCCCAAATATTGTTGGTACAGAGTGCATATGACGGCTGCGGAGGACAAAAATAACAAATCGGATGAACAATATATATGGGAGCTATAGCTATATCTGAACCGATTTCGAATTTCAAATTTGGCATACTTATTTTTAGGCCTAATTTGGTTGTATGGGCAAAATTCCATAATATTCGGGCTGATATTACACGTTGTTGCACAATAAAAGGCAAATCGGACGAAGATATATATGAGAGCTATACCAATATTTTTACCGATTATCTCCAATTTCAATAGGGTTCATCCTTGGGCCAAACAAATGTTGTCTGGAAAATTTCATCTCTATCGGATAATAAATGCGACCTAAATTTTTTTTCACAAGAATAGATTGACAGACGGACTGACATGCATAAATCAACTCAGTGATTCCATGGAGATCCTCAAAAGTAACTATGGGTCTATCTCTCTTCCTTCTCCATGTTACAAACAAATACACAAAGACATAATACCCTTACCACTATGTGTAGGGTATAAACATTAATTGCATTTGAACTACGTCGAAGTCTAATTCGGCACAAACCCGAAAAGGACACTAAGTCCAGTGCGACAACAAGATGACCAACCCAACCAATTTTTATACCCTACACCACATAGTGGTAAGGGTATTATGTCTTTGTGCATTTGTTTGTAACATGGAGAAGGAAACGAGATAGACCCATAGTTACTTTTGAGAACCTTCATAGAATCACTTTCTGAGTCGATTTATGCATGTCAGTCCGTCTGTCCGTCCGTCCGTCCGTCCGTCTGTCCATGTATTCTTGTGAACAAAATGCAGGTCGCATTTATTATCCGATTGAGATGAAATTTTCCAAACAATATTTTTTTGGCCCAAGGACGAACCCTATTGAAATTGGTGAGAATCGGATCAAATTTAGATATGTCCCATATATATCTTCATCCGATTTCGGGCTAAATGTGCACCAAATATTCACTATCCGTCCAAATTACCTGAATTTTGGCACACCCAACCGAGTTCGGCCTAGAAGCAAGTATATAAAATTTGGAGAAAATCGGTTCAGATATAGCTATAGCTCCCACATATATCTTTCATCCGATTTGATCTTTAAGTCCCTCACATTCCTACTATGCACTCCACAACCGTGATATTTGGTACCAGGTATTAGATGGAGCACAGAAATAGCTGTTTTAAATTTTATCGAAATCGGTTCAGATTTGGATATAGCTCCCATATATATCTTAATCCGATTTCGGGTTAATTGACCACCAAATCGCCAATATCAGCCCAAATGGCCCGAATTTTGGCACATGTGACCGAGATTAGCCTTAAAGCAAATACAACAAATTCGGAGAAAATCAGTTCAGAAACAGCTACAGCTCCCATATATATCTTCATCCGATTTCAGGTTAAATGTGCACCAAATGTCCACTATCAGTCCAAATTACCTGAATTTTGACACACCCAACCGGGTTCGGCCTAGAAGCAAGTATATCAAATTTGGAGAAAATCGGTTCAGATATAGCTATAGCTCCCATATATCTTTCATCCGATTTGGTGTTTAAGCCTCTCACATTCGTAATATGCACTCCACAAGAATGATATTTGGTACCAGATATAAGATACAGCCCAGAAATAGCTGTTTGTAATTTTATCGAAATCGGTTCAGATTTGGATATAGCTCCCATATATATCTTCATCCGATTTCGGGTTAATTGTGCACCAAATGGCCGATATAAGTCCAAATGGACTGAATTTTAGTACATCGGACCAAATTCAGCCTAGAAGCATGTATATCAAATTTAGTGAAAATCGGTTCAGATATAGATATAGCAACCATATATATGTTTCATCCGATTTAGAGTTTTAGTCCCATACATTCGTAATATTCACTCCACAACAGTGATATTTGGTACCAGGTATTAAATGGAGCACAGGAATAGCTGTTTTAAATTTTATCGAATTAGGTTCAGATTTGGATATAGCTCTCATATATATCTTCATCCGATTTCGGGTTAAATGTGCACTAAATGGTCAATATCAGCCTAAATCACCAGTCTAGAAGCTAATACGTAAAATTTGGAGAAACCCGGTTCAGAGATAGCTATAGTTCGTAAAATGCACGATAGAATTAGATAGATTTTGATTTTGTACCAAATATCTCATAGAGCTCTGAAATGCCCTGTATAAACCTTTTTACGAGAGCTCTACTAAATATGCATAGTGGTGTAGGGTATCATATAGTCGGCCCCGCCCGACTTTTGAGCTTTCCTTACTGGTTTAATAATGTTGTTAGTGACAACCTAGGGGTTGAAGCGTAGTGGGAATTTGCTTACCAACACATGTTCTCCTATTCACCATTTCGAGTTCAACGAGGTGCAGGTAATTTTCAGAGATTAATTATCTAAGATGGTGAGCGAAGGTCCCTAAAAATAAATTTTGACTTGTTGAGTAAAAGTTTGTACGAGTTGAAATGGACGACCAGTGCAAACAACAGCATGCTATTTGTTCTGCCATTTTCCAAAACTGGTGTAGCGACCCTCAGAAAAGTTAAATCTCTTCTGTGGCAATAGGGAATCCAAAATTTAAGCATCACATTGACCTGGACAAAGGTGAGTAGAATACAGGGTGAGATAAAAAACTGTGCCAAACTTACTTTCCAAATATTCCAGACACAATAGTCCCACGGATTGGTATCCGGAGATTTTGGTGGCCACTGTGCGCTGAAAATGAAAAGAGGAACCTCATTTTGTAACCATTCTTGGGTGGCGCACTCAGCACGATGGTGCTGAGTCCTTTTGGAATGTCCAAGGTCTGCGGTCAAAATGTTTGCGTGCCCAAGGCTTTAATACATTCTCCAGAATATTTTCGCGATAATATTCGGTATTTATTATGATGCCACGGTCGATTAATACGAGGGGAGAGCGACCATCGGCTGTTATGGCGGCCCACACCATCACCATGGCCGGCGCTTGAGTTCTGATGGCCAACCGAAGGTGCACATTTTCCGCTGACCTCTTCGGCAAGTAAACACGATCATTTTGTTTGTTTAAAACTAAAAACTAAATTCGGCAGTTCACCACTTTCGGCCAAGCGAAGCAACTCTTTAGCTCGTTTTAGTCTATTTTCTTTCTGTTGCGGCGTAAGTTCTTGCACTTTTTGGAATTTCAATGGCTTTACCCCGAGCTCATTTTTCAATATTTGGCGAATGGAATATTGCGATGTGTTCAGCTCACTAGCCATTTTTCGGCCACTGCGACGTGGGTTTCGATCAAGTCGCTTCTTTTCTTTTCGAACCATTTCTACTGATGTTGCTGTTTTCTTCCGTCCACTTCCTTGACGTCGGGCTAGGCTACGAGTATCACGGTAACGAGCGATGGTACCAGACAAAAAAGATTTATTCACATTTAAACGCTGGAGTGCTCGAATGATAGCCACTTGTGGTTTTCCAGCCAAATATAAAGAAATCGCACTGTCACGCTTGAATTCTATCACAAATAACTTTTTTTCTGGATAATTCTCAACATCCATATAATGCTCAATGCTATAATGAGCTGCCACTGCAATCATTTTAACAGCTGTCCGACGAATGGCTTGGAAATGACAGCAGTCTGAATTTGGTTGCAGTTTTTTCATCTCACCCTGTCAAATGGTCAAATTCCCCGGGTGAATATATTTATAGATCAATGACAAAAATGCAACTAAAGCTTCTGGGCAGTAATCACTTTAGGAAAATTATTTGTGGAAAGGAGTTATTTCAAAACAAATCCCTCCATAAACAATAATTTCATCTTGTTGTTGCAGAATAGGTAAAAAACAACATATGTTTATTATAAAAAGAACAAAATAAACAATAATGAGACTAAGTCTGACTATTTTGCAACATCACGATACTACGGAATCTCGAACAAACATGCCAACACTGTTTAAATCATTTCATCCCTAACAGACGTGCTTTCGATAAATATAATATATATATATATATATATATATATATATATATATATATATATATATATATATATATATATATATATATATATATATATATATATATATATATATATGTATATACATATATATATATATATATATATATATATATATATATATATATATATATATATATATATATATATATATATATATATAATATAATTCCTGCCGGGTAATCATTGCCAATAATTTCCTACCAAAATAAACCGTGTTTAAATTTGGCCTTGAAAAATTACTACAATGTACCTGTGTAAGTAAAAACCAAAGCGAATTTTAAATATTTATTTGTTTACGATTTTATTATCGGAAAGAATGCAGTTTAGTTACAATTACATTGTTTGTGATGGTTATTTAATGTATGTATGTACTTATGTACTATTTATGTCAGTTTATAAATATTTCTATAGCTGTTCTTTTTTTTTTTTTTTTTCAAATAAGTCATATGTATATACAAATGTAGACACATGATTTTTGCTGTAATCGTATTATTATTACTAGTATATTTAAACATGTAAGTATGTATATAATTAAATAAAAACGTTTTCCACAAATAATTACTAAATATATCAGTTATTCATTTTTCTTTCGTTTTTTTTTTCAAAATAAATTTACAATTCTAAATGAGCACACGAGAATGAAAACAAGTGTTATAACAATTTTCCCAAAGAGAAAAATAAAAACAAAGCAACTGAACAATGTCAGACATTTTATGCTTCTTCTTCATCTTCTTCTTATCACAATAATACTGTCGTAACTACTGGCTAAAAATAAATAAGTGCCTAGGTGTGTAAATCGTCTATTCTGTAAATGGTTTGTTAAATGTTAATACAAGTTTGTAACGTTTTGTATGTATATGAGTGTGTGTATGTGTGTGTGTGTGAGAGAGAGAGAGCGATTAATGGTATGTACGTACGTAAACTAATGGGTGAGAAGAATACTGCTGTTATTTAAAATGCAATCGATAATACTTTAAGTGCGCTTAGAGGATAATTAGCAAGCAGAGTCGCTTTATTCGCATATCTGTTTGTTTGCAATAATACTAAAGGGGTGGCATGTAATACCTCTTCTGTTGCCACCAATTTAGGAGGCAATGTTCTCTTGAGAGTTTTCAGGACTTTTCTTGACATCATCAGCATCCTCTTCTCTGTTGGTCGACACTTGGTTGTTGCTGTCGTGCAATTTCTCCACTTCTATGTATTCATCATCTTCCGCCTGATTAGTTTGATCACTTTCGATTATTTCCTGCTTCACTTCATTCAAGAGTTGAATATTTTCGGACCTTACAGCCTCGGCATTGTTGGTCTCGGATGCGGTGGTGCGATCTTGTTGAGTGGACACCGACTCACATTCATTTTTCAATGGCGAAATTTCCCTAATATCATGGTCGATGAGATGATGATCAAGTTCAGCCCGGAAATAGAACTTTTCGGGGCACAAGTTACAGTCGTAGGGCTTGGAGTTGGTGCCATGATCCAGCATATGACTTAGTAGACCACCGGGCGCAGTGAAAACCGATGAACAAATATAACAGTTGAAACCACGATCTTCACATCCAGCAAATGTGTGCTCGACCAAGTGTTCCTGCAGTTTTTGTGGATGGGGCAAAATCATTTTACATAGATTGCAGCGGTTGGCGACATACTGTCTGGCGTCGGAATTGGTTCGCTGCTCAAAATGCTCACGCTGCTGTTTGAACTTGTTGTTGAGGTTGTGTTTGCGACAGCACTTCTCACAGACCTTTGCTTCCGAGGGCGAATTTGAAATTGGTTCCAAGCATAGAGCACACACATTTTCGGACACATTCGAAGCTTTCACATGGAATCTTAAATAGAGGCAAAAGAAAAAAAAACGAAACAAAATATTCAATTAGGTGGCTGCCAAACAATTTAAATGATAATTTGTACTATATGTAAAGGGAAAAGCAGAAGGAACGTTTAAAGTCGATATCGTAAGCTTTCATTCTGCTTTGCGACCAATGACTCATCATAGCACAGTACTTACTTTGCATGGAGGCCAATCTCGAACTCCGAATGCAACGTTTGACGGCAACATATACACTGGACAGGCATTTGGCCTTCCGTATTGTGATCAGCAAGATGAGCTTTGAAGGCGCTCACATCTGACAGCGGCTTGGAACAGTGCGAACATCTGCCCGACTGCCCTACTTTGGAGTGCTGCAACTTATGCTCGGCCAATATGGCTGGCGACGGAAAGATTTCATCGCAAATCAGACACTTGTGTTTACCGGTGGAGTTGTGGCATGTCTTCATGTGGTGTTCCAGTTCACTGCGCGACTTGAAATTACCCGAACAGTAGGCACATTTCAGGCTCACTCCTGTCTTAAGATTGTGCACTATCTTTCGATGCGAATGTACCTCAGACTCTGTGCGGAAGTCGTTGCGCTCACAAATGCCACAACTGAATCCCGTCGATGGTGATGCACTTAACTCGTTGCGAACATGGCTCTCCGTAGCCGATAAGTGCGGCGCGTTGGCGGGTTGTTTGGGACTTATGAAGTAGTTACCGCCGGCTTTGGTATTTTCTTGAAGGTGGTGTTGCTGTTGTTGTTGCTGCTGCTGCTGATACATTTCCATTACGGTGCGATTTGTATCGAAGTAACGCTGGGAAAGTCCATACATCAATGCTGAATGCTTCATGGCATTTGTATCGATCTGCAGAGGATTGTAGAACTTATTGGCAGCAGCAGCGGCAGCATTCGGAAACAAGCCCTTGTTGAGATGCGACGCAAAGGCCACGTTGTAATCCAAAATACTGTTGTTGTTATTTTGTGCGGTCAGCGGCATTATTGGCCCTTTGCCAAAAAGTGCATTGACGTAGAGAGAGTTCATGGGACTCAGTGCATTGCCCACAACTGGTGGGGAGTGTTCTTCAAAAGTATCCTTTGGCGTGGCGGGCGGACGCTCCATGCCACCGTGGTGGGTTTGCATGTGGCGATCCAGTAGGAATTCAACATGGAATGTTTCCGGGCAAGATGGACAACGGAATTGTCTCGCATGGGCGGCTAAATGGAACTGCATCTCTAAATCCGAAGAACACACAGTGCGACAGAACATGCACTGCAGGGAGTTGACTGGAGGGGGGTTGTTGTTCACCGCCTGATGCCTGGACTTCACATGGATGTTGAAATCATTCTCCGACCGAAAGACATCCATGCAGGCAGAGCAACGGAACAACTTTGTCTCGGCAGAATGGGCGCAGGCAAAGTGCACCTGAATGGCTACCTTAGTTTCGAACATCTCGCTGCACAGACCACACTTATACATTGTTATGGCGTGATGGTCGATAAGGTGCTTTTGCAGTTCCTCCGGCTTTCCGAAGGACTTTTGACACGAAGACGAGCAATTATACTCGGAGCTGGTAATAAGGAAATGCGAGATAACGTGTCGCTCGAACTCTGACTGTTCCCGCAGCATTAGCCCACAGTGGTGACACACCAAGTTCAAGCCTTGGGCAATGTGAGACTTCAAGTGATTGCGGAAGGATTCAAAGTCGGGCAAGCCTGCATTGCACTGGTTGCAGAGAAACACTCCCGGCTTTTCGGCAGGTGCATTGTCATGTGGCGATTTTTGCGGCGTTGTTGAGGGTGTAATCGACCGGCGATTATTCTGACTCAAGTCCGTGGGCTCGTCTTCGCTCTGGCGGGCGCTGGTGTCCAATGACTTTGGACTTGTGGGATGTTGCTCTTCTTTGATACTACTGTCATCGGCACTCGTGGAGCTACGCAGAGGCTGGCCGGTGAGTAGCGGTGGACTGAAAGTCCCCGATGCGGCTAGACGATTGAAGTGCTCGAAATAGGAATTGGGGCTGGTCAGACGATCCACATGTGCCGAACGCATATGTTGGAACATGGCAGCGATGTTGGAGAACTTCATGGTGCAATATTCGCATGCCATTTGGAAGTTGGACCCTTCGGCTGGCACCGGGTTTGAGGGCGGCGTCATCGAATGAACCAACTCTTTTTCATGCTGGCACTGCAGGTGAGTGTTCAACTGTTCCACAGTAGAAAAATCCGATTTCGAACAGAAGGTACACTTCAGTACATTCGAGGAGGAGGATCGCCCACGTTTGCCAAATTCTAGCCGACTAGGGCTGTGATCTCCTCCCACGGCCAGGGCGTAGCGTCTCTTCTGTAGACTTCCGTTACTTGATGCAGATCCGGTGGAACGAGGACTATAATTCAATGCCTGGGGATTACCGCCTGCAGCCAGGAGCGCCGCTTGTTTCTTGTGATTTTGCATATGCGATGTTAAAGCCGCCGCAGTGTTGTAGCCGCGGTTGCATATGGTACATTGGAATGGCTTCTGATTGTCGTGAGTTTTCATGTGGATTTTCAAATGGTCGCTACAGAGGACATGGGAAGAGAATTATCGAAATTAATATCCGTGTTCGCGGCAGCAGCCTTTCCCAAACTTATGAGAAACATCCAGGCAGACTGGCTAATGCTTACCTTCTTGAAAATGCTGCCTCGCAGTGGGGGCAGCGATAGCGCCGATCTCCGGTATGCAGTTTGGTATGGCGATCTCGTGATCTCTTGTGCTTGAAAAGGCGGGCACAGTAGTCGCATTTGAATGGCAAGTGTTCGGCATGGCTCTGCAAAGATAGGGAGCAGACAAAGGAGGCCACATTATTATTGATCCATTACTGATAACCACTGTGAGCGGTGCAAGTTTTGGCTTTCTTTACAATTTTTTTTACACCTTTAAGATTTTTGGATGCATTTTTTTTGGTGTCGCTGCTACCGGCAATGCATGAAGACAAAGTCGAAAACAAAGCCTCACCAAAAAAGAAACAACCCTAAAAAAAGAGCATTCGGACCTGTTCTGTTGGTGGTGCGATTGCAAACATTTTATATGAAAATATTTCATCACTTTAATGTGGCAACCTTAAATGTTTTAAGCATTCCTAAGTCGAGCACAGAGTATGTCCACTGATGAACGTCTGATTATTTGTGACTGTCTGTCTGTCTGACTGACTGACTGTCCGTTTGTTGGTTTGTCTCTTTGGTACGGGTATTTGTCATCTCAGTTGTGAGTTGGGGAATCAGTCCGAAACTGTTGCTTGGCTGGGGACCCGAAGAGCCTCTTCTATGGATTTGGTAAAGAGGCACGTTGTTGGCTCCTTGAAGATTGTTATCAGAATGCGCAAATTTTTAAGTAACAACTTTTGATGTTGTCGCGTTAAATATCATCATACCGCACGTTCGGCTGTCGCATTCACTTGGGTTCTGTCAGAATCTGAACCCTTTGTAGCTGTGTCAACTGTTTGCTAGTTGGCGTGGTAGCGTGCGTTGTGCTGCTGTAGCTGTAGCTGGTGTTTGTTGTTGTAGCTACAGTTAGCTGCTCATATTTTAAACGCATTCACGGACAGATAGCCGCACAATTTATAATGATTTGTTTGTTGGTCTCTAAAACAGTTTAAAAAACCATAATCAACACACAATAATTTTATTAAATTTTTGTTGAAGCGGACGAGGACAACAACAAACAACAACAAAGCTTCTCGCTGAGAGTGGCCGCTCGAGTAGGAACGTTATGTGAGCAGTAAACAACTGTGTGCATACAAATGGGCTAATTTCTGTGCGCCGATCTTGGCAACGCTCGGGCGATGCCAGAAGAGGGAGTTTGGCAATTTCGGTTAGCACAGTCGCTTAGATTTAACATATCAAAGCGAATATACCGCTCGCTTTGTTGCGGTAATCATCTAAAATGTTGTTGGTGATGATGGTGGCGATGACAGCGACTGCGACGGTCGACATTGGTGATGATGATGTATTAGAACACTCGAGCAGTGAGCTTTGTTCTGCTTTGCAATTGGCTTTGGGTTTGGGTTGCTTCGGCGGCACAATCACAATGCCACCTACGGTCGGTTTTAGTGGTCATTTATCACCTGGAGTATCATCCTTCGCCTATCTGGATGCGAGATGTTTTGGTATGCAAAGGTCGTCTATGAAGTCGCTGTTATTAATAAATGCTGCCAGCGTTTGCGCTTCTTTAGTATGCCCAAACCATTTTTCTAAGAACGTTTGCACAAAGCAATAACGCCTGCAAATGTGCAAGTGCAGGCAATTTCCCCCAGGTCTCGTCTGCGTTGGCATAATATGTTAATTGCATGAAGCGTCCAAAATACCTGATACCAATCTAAATGAGTCTAACAAGTCTGGCCGGCAATGCGAGTAATGTTGTCGCAGTAGAATGTCAGTCGGGCCCCAAAAGAATGAATTGCATGCGTGGGCTAAGAGACTAGCTTGGAGAGTTCACTACTAATATGCGTTATTTTTTGGTGAAAACTAAATGCATATGTGCACACATATATATGGATTATTCACATACATATATATATATATATACTGCATTGTTATTCAGCTTGAGTGAGGGCATGTATGCTCATTTAGTACGGTACATGGTTCACTATGTCTTTTAATGTTCGATAGTGCTAAAAGTTACAGCTTGTTGTTCTTTTTTGTTGCTTCCCAATCGAAATAGCTGTGTCTTTATATTTCTGATTAATTGCTGATCGTATGCGTTTTTCACACAATACTCCACAAATTGTTGCAACCTCCATCATAAGGTTGCCATTCCGTTTTCGAATCGTAGCGTAAATCCAACTTTTTTTGCCCAAAATGCAAGAGCTTGCAATTGACCGGTCAATTGGCCGCTTAGATCGTGCGATCAAACGCCTTTAGACCTTTTTGTGGGGCTATGTCAAAGCTCATATTTATACAGACAAGCCCACTTCAATTGACGCATTGGAAGACAACATTGAAGCATTAATTCGAGAGATACCGGCCGAAGAGTTGTAAAATGTATGCCAAAATTGGACTAAGCAGATGGACAATATGAAACGCAGTCAAAGTCAACATTTGCATGAAGTAATTTTCAAAAATTTAATTTTTTAAACCGTTTATCAATTCAGATATAGATTCAATGCATTTTTCTGAACTTTATGTTTTCGTTTTTAAAAATTTTCCTATATCTCTTAAAAAATCACCGTTTTTTGTATATTTGACGAAATAACACTCTACTGCTGTGTTGTATTTTTCTAATTCACCCTATCTTATTCTACCATGGATTTAACGATTGGTCGCTTGAAATCAAATAAGGTTTTTGAAGTATATAAACAGAGTTTTGTAGCTTTGCCCAAACATTGGCATTTCTCATCGGTTTTTAGTCATGGTGGGTTCTCGTCGAATGAGAATCCAAATAGCGCTATCCTCCAATTTGAGGAGTTTTAAAGATCTTGTCCATATTTTTTAGTCGATGTGACTGCAATTTGATAATATTACTTCTTACCATGGTACAATAAAAAGGTATGGTAGAGCTGCCAGCTGATTACAATTTTTTTTCTAAGTGTGCCCGACTTATGCCAATTTTGTGTATGTATTTATTGTTTTGAAAAAAAAAAAAAAACTAAATATTTTCAAAATCAATGAATGGAAGAAGCTTAAATTGCGGGCGCTCACTAATGATATTAACCAGATTTGCCACGGAATTGAAAGATTGAAATCTTAGGATCATATTTTTAAGATAATATCCAGGCATTTCATTCTTCTTTCGAGCTATTTGATTCGTTTTAAAAATGAACAAAAAATATCAAATGAATGGATATAATTTTGAATTATTCTGACAGGAAGCGGGCATAGCCTCAGGGCTGTATTTATGTAGTTTTACGAAGCTGTTCTACCTTCTTATTGTACCATGCTTCTTACCTTGAAAAAATGATCAATGTGCGTTTTCAAATATGCCCAAAATATTTATCGAGCCATATTGCAGGTTCTGGTCCAATTTCCCCACAGAATATGATGCAGCTTGAGATCTCGGTTTGGGTCTAGCCCAAGTAAAGTTCGGCATTGTTGAACTAAAGACTGATTTTAATTATTATATATAAAAACTAATAATGTAGATGTCTTAGCGCATTAGGGGATAGAAGATATAAGGGATCTATCCTTAAATTATGCAACCAACAAATTGTTGACATAAAAGATCTTGCTTGATGAACAGTTCTAAAATAATTGTTCAATTGCGTATTATTGAATGTTAAAAATGATTTGTTCTTTACACAATTACACTTCAGAATTCTATAAAATGAAATATGAATTTGTTTTTAATAATGATTGAAAAACAGAGAATGTGAATCAAGCTCGCAATATTGTAGACATTCCCAACAAGTTTCTAAACAAAAAAAATACTCCAAATACAATCCACAATGCTGTTTGAGGTCAATTCCTAGACATTTGTACATTGTTATGTATTTTGATTCAAAAAAAAATACACTTCATAATTGGGAAGAATCAAATACCTAACATGAAGTACATTCAATATATGCAAATACCCCTTGAATGCTAACGCTAATAATTTTTCAATGGAAATTCTATCAATCCGTCACGGTAGACATATAATGAGACGACATTCCATAGCGATGCTTCGGCCACCCTTCACCTTAAACCATTTAACTTATTTCCAAATTTTACACTTCGAAGCACCCTTTGTCTTGTAATGTTAATTAGCTTCGCATTACCACAACCCTTTTGAGTGGCAGTGTCAAGGCACATTCACTTAGACACCCCATGTCACAGGTGTTGACAAGCGCCGATGCAGACATGTACAAACAAACTCATAGATCTCATAAAATATGCTTGCTCTTTTGTGGACTTACCTGCTCATGCTTTTTTAGATAACCAAGACGCGGAAATGATTTATCACAGAACTGACACTGATAGGATCCGTCGGCACCGGCACTGCCGCCTTTAATGCCATCGCTTGTCAACTTATCAAACTTGAGTGCATTTGCGCCACTGCCGTTGCCCACCTCTGCTGAGTCCCTTTCAATTTTGCGTAATTTTGAAGGAATCCTCAAGGCATGTTCGGCATAGCGATGATGACGTCCATTACGCTTAAGATGTTGCCCGGGATGGTGGTGGTGGTGATGATGATGGTGCTGACGCGGATGAGTTTGGTGTTGTGTTTGTTCTCTGCCATCACCACCTTCGGCAAGTTTGGTATTACCGTTGTCTACGGTATTCTCTGCGGCATTTGGGTTTGTGTCATTTTTGTTAGCTTTTTCGCTGTTCGCCTCCCCGTCATAGTCAGCTGCGTCGGTGGTGCCATTGGTTTTTGCTTTCGACAGACACTGTTGCGACTGCAGCAGAGCGTCGTCGTCGTAACTGGATGCGGCAAAGGCCAAATGTGATGGCACTGGCAAGTGTTGATGGTGATGTAAGGAGTTCGGGGTCAGAGTACCATCCGATATGGAGGGCGAATAACTGGAAGAAGTGTGTGTGGAATACATATCTGAAAGAGAAATAGAAGAGATCTTGTTTAGCATTGGTGATATCTTCTCCTGTAATAAGAACAAATTGCACCAGCGTGATTAGTCATCGCGACCATGTGCTGGACAGTGCATGTCTACGATAGTAACAATTACGTGGGTGGTGTGGTGTTATGGACATCCTTATTATCTTTCAATTACAGGAAATGGTTCCTCGCGGCCATTCAATGCTTTACTACGCACTGCTCTATTCGGGGGGCTTTAATTTTGACGGTGTCTGCGACAACTAGAACTAATTTAATTAATCCAATCCGATACCATCTATCCACCCGGTTCACTTGGCCTTTCAAGGCATTTGTTTGAAACTGATCGTTTGTCAGTGTCGCTGAGCGCCGCAGTGCTTGAGAACACAGATCGTGTTTTGAAATCAAGCCAAACAGCCAACAACACCAGCCCTCCCGCTCGAACAACAAAGTATTTTAAATCATCACATCATCGAGCATGCAACCGCCTGGCTATACGGCCAAGCAAATGAGTGGTCATGCAAAGTGATAATTCTTATTTTTACGATTAAGCCTCTACAGTGAATTGAATGTTTTAATTAGAATTCTCGGTGATACTTATGGCCGGTCGCCCCAAAATTAAGTGCGGACACTTCAGCCGAGCTGAGCTATTGCTCATTTAGCGAGGGAAACTACAAATTACTTTTAATTGGCAGCGGCTACTTGTGCCTTCTGTTCGATGCTGAGTGGATTGCCATGATGCCATGGTCTGGGATTCTTCGATGCTTGGACAGTTCCTATCAAGTGATGTGTCTGGTGGTTTCCTACGGATTACAACAATATGTTCCTTGTCATTCGCTTTAAAAATCTTGTAATTAGCTGTTGTGAATTTGCCTCAATCTGAATGGTGTTAATTGATGTTTATTTTCTACTCCGCACTCGACTTTTTGTTCCGCCACCGGGTGGGGTTAGAGGTCTTTGTCAATTGATTGTTGTTTATTTAATGTCTCATCCCGTTTGTAATCTGAACTTTCGTAACCCTCTGGAAGAGTTTGCTATAGAGAGTTCAAACAGCCAATATAAACATAAAAATGTGTAACCTCTTAACGACAAGATAATGGTCAAGGAAGCACGAGGTCGTGAAGGTGAGAGCATAGCTTTTATTTGAAGTTTTTAAGAGAGCGATGAATTTCGAATATCCGATTTTTATGTAGAGTGAAAAATTCCAACGAAAAAGTTGCAGAATTCTTCACAGGATTTTTAGGTTATTTTTTATCTACTTAAATGCACAAATTTGATTTTTATAATAATCAATTGTCAATTGGACATTGGCAATATCACCCGTACATGCAGATATCAATGAGGTGAGTTGGTAGTCAAGCTCTCTCGAATGCAGGGACGATGCATACTAAATATTAAGTATGCAACCAAACCAAGAAGTTGTTTATTATTGCAGAGCGTTTCTTTATATTATTATTGTTACTGATTGAATATTATTTGCGTTTAAGATTTAATTTACGCATTCTTACTTGCAGTATAAAGATTATAATTGCCAACAGTGAATTGTTAAAAATTGCACTTTTATGAGCTGGTTTGCATTTTTCCTATCTAAAGTTAACAAAAACTGCACTAAGGTTTTTCAGAATAGTTTAAAAGGGGGAAACAGAAGATGTCATTAAAAAAGTAAAGCCGTTGTCAACAAAATTTACATCTGTTCCTTTCTAATTTGAAATCAAACATGCCGCTAGTCATATGGCAAATAGCCGAGTTATTTAAAGATAAAAAAAATATATATCAAATGGAGTCTAATGAACAGTTATCGGCCCAAATGTAACGGCTGTCAATTGTTGATACTAACATAAATCCTTTATCACTTGAAATACAGATGTATCCATGTTAAAACACAATTCAGTGTAAAGGATCAATTACACAATTAAACTTGCAGGCATGTATATTCATTATGCTTAGCTCTGTTACGTTTTTTCACTCTGAAATTTATTTATTTTTTTATTATAGCTTTAAGCTATTATTGTCATTCAGACTCTATTTCAGTCAAGCTGAATCCTAATTCCTATCTCTATTTATTTATTTAAATGGTTTATTCCAATGTAAGTTGTCTTCTTCTTGAAATTAAAAAAAAAAAAAAAACATTTAATTCGATTTTTTTAGATAAAACGGTTTATTCCAATGTAAGTTGTCTTTTTCTTGAAATTAAACAAAAAAAAAACATTTAATTCGATTTTTTTTTAGATAAAACCACATACATTTTTGTTAAAAATTATCGATCTACTTTTTCATAAAAGATCTCAAGAGTAATTCAAAATTCACATACATAATAAGGAAAAAAGAATGTCTTTGATTTATTTTTAATCTTTTTATATAACTACTTAAGTATATAAAAAGTGGAAAAGGTACTAAATTTGAAAGAAACTGACAGCGATTTTTAGTGAATAATTAAATTTTAAAACATTAATGCCATATTTCAAGGGATGATGACCATATATACATGGAAATATAACAAAAAACACGGAGTTTTTATGTAAAATATTCAAATTGAATTTCTGTTTTTAAAAATAGTAGATGTGCTTAAGATTAGTCTAGGGTGGTACTCTCTTTCTTATTATCTCGGAGATATATTTAAATGAAGTTATATGTAATTACAAATGTCTCTGTGCATACATATTTAAAGACATTTAATTTGAATTTAAAAGCGTTTTTTGGATCGGGTATACAGTTTACTTTCCGAAACTGTAAGATTTTGCAAGACCAATTGCATGTTTTAAATGTGTGTTTTTAACCATGATAACCCTTATGTGTACTTTCAGATTGTAATGATTCCTTCATCGATTTATAAAATCCAACCTACTTAAATAGGTGTTCCATTTTGAACCCATTTAAAAAAAGTCGGTGGTAGACATAGAAAAAATAACTATGCATCATAAAAATTACGAATTGTCCCTACAGGAGATTTACAGTTATACCCTCCACCCCATTGAATATTATGTAAAAGTCATAATTACCAGCATTAACAATCTCTTTGGTAGCTTGGATCTTTTCTATTAGATTTTCGAGTCTTGAACTGGGTCCTCGATATAACATTTTTAAAGCCATCATGGCTTTTTCGGAAGCCACTTTTCAAATATGTTTTGTTTTTTCGATTATGCACAGTTATTTTTTACACTTTTATTGTTTCGAAGAAACAATCATTATTTCTTCATATTTTATGTTTAAATTATTATTATTATTTTTTTTTTTTTTTATAAATTTATCACTGTGTAAAATTTGTTTTTCAATTAGATTTGTTTTCTTTATTCCTTTATTTTTTTTATTTATTTATTCTTATTTGTCTTCTCACGAATGATTTGACATCCATTTAGTATGGGCACCAATGATTAACTAAAGTCGTGTACTTAAGCCCGAGTAGAATTGAACCAAACTGTAACCACCACAGTGCTGAACAAACACAAACACACGCGCGCGCCTCCCTAAAAGGCGTTACTAGAATCACAGAGTACACAGAGGCAGCACCGTTGATACGGATAAATGACGACGACAATGACAATGGCTCTTGGATGGGACTCTTGCAGGCATTAAGTGCCTCGTTATGTGATTCATTGATGTAAATTCAATTTTGTCCCACAAACAGCAGACGCAAGAGGTGCCGTACCGAGCAAACCAAATGAACAACGGCCAACGTGGTTGGAACGAGTGCGCGAGTGCTGCACACAATACAGCAATAACAACAAATAACTAGAACAAAACAGGCGAACGTCTTACGCTTACGAACGACAGCCCAAGACTGGTGGTGCTACGACCATAACATCATCATTAGTTAACATTCTTGTGATTGTTCGGCGCAATGGGATTGGGACAGCTTGCCGGAACCAGATTCAGATTCAGAGCAGCAGACACACACCCAATCTCACCGCTTACAACAGCAAACCAGTCGAATTGTACGCTTGTGTGTTTGAGTATTGGGTCCACGCAGTATGTGGCCAATGTGGGCAACCGAAATCAAAACAAACCAAGAGAATAAGCGTAACGTGGTGAGAGCAGCCAAGAATTGTGAACAGACACATACAGTTGCTCGCACGGAATGAGCGAGAGGTGATAAATGGCGCCCACACATTTCCCCACACAAACACAATCAAGACGACACCACTGACGAACACACGCAAACTTCTGTCTCTCAGCTCCCCTATGTCATATACAGTAAGAGACGTCGTTGTGTATGAGTGCCTAGTAGTGGTCCCCATGATTCAATGGCAATGATATGTAATTGAACACATTCAGACAGATATGCATTTGTGCCTGTCTGATGACAGAGTGCTGAGTGGTGTTGTTGTTGTTGGTGGTGGTGGTGACTATGGTGCTGTTTACCATTTTATATACTTCGGGAGAGCGAGTATGAGAGTGAATTTGTGAGAGCATATATATACAAAAATCAACAGAGCCAACAAAGAGGCGGAGCATGGGTCCTTATGTATTTGGACCAATGCACAATGTTTACGTAAATGACAGAGAAGCGAAGCAGTTGCTTTGGTCTTGCACTGTAATGTGGCGGTTTTTGGTTTGTTCGAGTGTTGTTTTATCGTTGGCGGTGGGTTTTTTTTGATGTTCATTGCTACAGTGGCAGTTTTACTTAATTTTTTGCTTGTGGTGTGCGGTGTATGAAGTCGTCCTAATGGGCAAATCGTGTTTCCATTTACAACGTCAATTGCGTTCAAAAAACATTTGGAATGAAAGCATAATTCAATCACGGCACAACAAACAAACTGGCATACAAGCAGATAGATAGATACCTACCCAGGTTAAAAATACGATTTAATTATGAAAAAACTGCCAAATAGCTTTAAGATTATGGTGAATTTTGTACTTGTGTTAATTCAAATTAAAACAGGTAGGCAGGAGGTTTATAATGCTCACTGTCAAGTGGTATTACTAAAAGAAGACAACAATTAGGAAAACAGGTATTGTAAATGTCAATGCAATTTTAATCTCGCCCATGAAAAATTAAAAAA